GTTAAAACATCCGATCGTATTTGTTCTTTGTAATCTGAGGTCTAGCCATCTTTGGTCTTGAGAAGTTCTACGTTTGAAATAGGACCAGATCATTCTATGTACATAGTTTTTTTGCCCTGGGTGAAGTCGTTATTGCCATGTACAAGTACGCTTGGGGTAAAACTTAAAAAGAGAACAGAAAAGTAACGTGTATGAAGGAAGCGAATATCTAAGAAAGGGTCCTATGGAACACTATGAAAATGTTTATAAAAAGTGAAAATTTAAGTCGCTATTTTTAGAGTCGATAATTTAACTTATTATACATACGGACGGCATTTTTTTTTTTAATTCAAATTTATAACTGAGTAATGATTCATTAAGATTATTTCGCAACACAGGAAAAAATTGTTATGGGAGAAATGTATTCGCGATTGCCAATATATTTGCTATTTGAAATGTGTAAATTTTGCTCTTAGATTATTAAAAGTGTGCAACTTCAAAACATAAAAGAAAAACAATAATAAAAGTAAAAATAAAGTGTGAACCTGTTTCAGTATTTTCATTTTTCAACCCAGCTTCTGACGAGTGGGTTGTGGGGCTTGTTAGTATAGGAATTTTCCGGGATAGCAGCGATTCAGAATTGCTGATGGCAATGCGAAGTTCCTTTAAAAACTGAGCAATAAAAGGATCCGTCTGGTCCTAGTTTTGCATAGAAAATCTCCAAACCATACTCCTATCAAAATACACCGCGAGAATTATTCATAGCGGTCCTATCATAAGTGAAGGATTATTCCCAAATTGTTGCCTTCGTTGCTATCTGTCTGTATGGTCACCTAAGATTGTTCGTGTAGATGTAAAAATGTGTTGATTTTATTAGTGGAATTAAGGTAAACAAATTAAAGAGTTTTCAAAACTTCATACAGAACACTGGTCAAATTTTCGTGAAAACATCTGATTTCCTCCCTGAAATTTCACATAAAAAAATTCTTCCACAGATCTAAACACAAGGATCAAAAGTCCAATTTCCTCATATTCTGAAGACACTCGTAGTCTTTCGTGAAGTTCATGACCGAAAACCATGGACCATCTTTCCCTGACGTTTTGAAATGTTTCTTTCCCGTCAGTGCGATCTTCATCCATTGAATTCTTACCCAATCCTCGATCCCCCACTGTCAGAGATTGTTAAACGTTAATTGATTTCCGCTTGATTTTGGGATGAGATCACATGATTTGAGCTTTGAAGTGGAAGGAAACAGTGGCGTCAATAGCAAGTTTTTATAAGTGGAATTTGATATTACAGATTTATTTTCTTCAGTGTAAGTATATTTGTGTCTGAGTTTTGCAACCATTTAATTAGGCGCTGTTATGGGTCAAGCTTTCCTCAAACTAACCTCTCCACAGACATCTGTAAACAATTCTTAGAACCCAGACATCTCTATCCTGTTTAACCCGCCTTGATTGATTGATATCGTTAGTGATAAATATGATAATTAAAAACCCAAAAGTTTTGCATTGCTTGAGGCGACTTATTTCAACTTGAAATCTCTGCGTCAGTTTCTTGTACTCGATCATGGATATCAGAACCTTGCTTGACAATCTTCCCGATAAAGTATCTTGTTCTGTGTGTGTGACAACATTTACTGAACCAAAGATTCTGCCATGTTTGCACAGCTTTTGTCTTCACTGTTTGAACGGGATCCCACGAACGAGTGGCCGCCATGATGTATTTCTCTGTCCTGAATGCCGAAGAGAAGTTCAAGTCCCTAGCAGTGGAAACCTCAAGGATCTGCCCACAAACTTTCGTATCAACAGTTTGCTAGATGTGCTGGCCATCAAAGAATGCCATACTACTGGAGTGAAATGTGGAAACTGCGACAAATGTAGCAGACACAGTTCGTACTGTTTTCAGTGCTGTGCGTTCTGGTGTGACGAGTGTATCACTGTTCATAACATGATCAAAGCGAATGAAGAGCATCGAGTCCTCGCTCTGAAAGATTTTGAAAATCAAGACATCGAAGATGTATTAAAGCGGCCAGCATTTTGCCAACTCAAGCATCACGAAAAAGAAGAACTTAAGTTCTTTTGCAAGAACTGTGATGTTGCCATTTGTAATTCGTGTGTTGCAACTATCCATGATGGTCACGCTAAGATACTTCTAGAAGATGCAGCAAGTGAACGCAAGTTACAAGTTCAGTCTTTAATCGAGTCGCAAAAAGAAAAAATTGAACAGAAGAAAAATCAAATCGCTGACCTTGAGAGACAGTGTAACTGTCTTGAGGCGCGAGCTGATGCAGTGAAACGAGACATCCATAGGCTTGCTGAAAACATGTTCGCAGCCATTGAAACAAAGAAAAAGGAATTATAACATAACCAAAGGAAAGCGCGCGCTCTGATTGGTCAATTTAGCGTTCCCCATTTGCCCATGGGTGTACGCTGCTGACGTGAGCAAATGCAAAGACTATTTTTCCGCGCGCGCTTGTTTTTTCTGGTCGCGTAAGATTTGTTAAATAAACGGGAACTCTTTAGCTACAATGTATCAATGTTATGTTATAAAACAAATGGTAAACACCACAGCGTACACTATTGAGTTATGGATGCACTTGGGAGGTTTGCTAAGCACTCAAGAAGCTAGAGTCGCTCTCGGCTATCGCCTCGAGCGACTCTTACGCTTCTTTCGTGCTTAGCAACCTCCCGCGTGCATCCATAACTCAATAGTGTACGCTGTGGTGTTTACCATTTGTTTTATAACATAACATTGATACATTGTAGCTAAAGAGTTCCCGTTTATTTAACAAATCTTACGCGACCAGAAAAAACAAGCGCGCGCGGAAAAATAGTCTTTGCATTTGCTCACGTCAGCAGCGTACACCCATGGGCAAATGGGGAACGCTAAATTGACCAATCAGAGCGCGCGCTTTACTTTGGTTATGTTATAATTTTC